CGGTCTCAGTCTCGGTCTCAATCACGGTCTGGTCCTGGTCTGGTCCCGGTCTCAGTCCCGGTCTCAGTCCTGTCTCAGTCCTGGTCTCAGTCCAAGTCCTTGTCCCGGACTCAGTTCCGGTCTGGTCCCAGACCTGGTTTAGTCCTGGTTCAGTCCTGGTTCAGTCCTGGTTCAGTCCGACACAAAATCAAAAACTGAAAAAAACGAATCGTTATCTGATTTTTCATTTTGGTTCTGGAGACAAATAATGAAGAAAATAGTTGTTTTTTTGTTTTCTTATTTTTGGTTTTATATTGAAAAACGAATGAACGAATGATACGCAGATTTTTTACACGTGATACTTTTTACTTTTACTTCACTACATTTGAAAACGTGTATTTGTACTTTCTACTCCACTGCGTTTTAGATCTGAACTGAAAAGTAAAAAGCACTTTGAAATTGCAGACTTTTTTAAAAATTCCATTTAATTTGCATTTCCGTCTCAACTTAAAGCAAACCAAATACAAAAATCAATGGAATCACAATGGAATTGACCAAAATCACTACATTTCATCCTTTAATTGTTCTTAAATATCTCAGCAAAATACATTTCTTTTTACTCTTTAAGTACATTTTTAAATAGGTACTTTTATTTAATACTTTTATTTAAGTTGATTTTTTCATGTAATACTTTTACCTGAGTAACCTTTTGCTTACTTTAAATATTGCACTTTAAGACTGCAGCAGACTAAATGATGTTTTAATGGTGTCTTTTACTTGTGTTTATATTCTGTGGTTTGTGTTTTTAGTATGTTTTTTGAATTTTGTATGAATGCTTTTTCCAGTGTGATTCTTAAACTGCAAATGCCAAATAAACTGAACTGAACTTTTACTTCAGTCACAAAATTGTGTACTTCACCCACCACTGTCCAAAACTAACAATGAAACGAGAGAAAACCGTGAACGACCTGCTCCTGGCGCTTTTCCTGCACAACACTGACACCTAGTGGATAACAAAGCTCACAGCACAGGTCCTTTGTGTGGCCCATGTGCTTCTGTGTCCTTTGAAAATCAGCCAGTGCTCTGTTCACACACATTAACTGGGCTTTGATGCTGCGTTCATGTTTTATATTCATTTTTTCTGTTTCATGTCAAGATTTAAAGGGCCCATATTACGCTATTTTCTGATCCATGTTCTAATGTTGTTTCCTGGTGAAAAATATATACATACATATATAAGCTGAGTTCTGTTCTCAAATATAAAACACTCTTTTCCACATTGTGATGTCATGTGAAGTGCTCCACTGTGTTTTTAAACTCCACCTTCACGAGAATCATTTGGATAATTTCAGACCTGGAATTACCAATCTCTACTGAAGTAAAGGTAAAAGATAGATGCTAACTTAAACTACCACAACATGACATCACAGGGTGGGTATGTTTATGATGAGATAACATTATGGCAGAACACTTGTGGGTAAAACGACAAAATATTTGATCAGAAGTGCCTTTCGTTTAGATGATGATGGCGTTTTTGGGGCTTAAAAACACAAAACCACCCTCCAGAGTGGAAAAGTTCAATATGCTCCGGCGCAGAGTTTCCGTCTGCACTGCCCAAGACGCAAAACGCTGGTCAGATCTGCTCACGTCGCATACTCGTTTATGTCACATACTGTACATCACCATCTAGAATCACCACCGAGCCGCCTGGCACCCAATCGAATTCCACACACTTTTGCGTCACCATATGCACGCAGATTTCCACCCGAAAACATCTGTCTAAACATGGAATACCAAGTGAAGATGCGACACCACTTTTGCATCTTCTGTTCAGACCGTCATCATATAAACGTAGCCCAGGGGTCGGCAACCCGGAGCCGCGTGTGGCTCTTTTACTCTTCTGTTTTGGCTTGGAGTATTTAATTACAATGTACTTTTATTTTAGTTTGTTCATTTTTAAATGTGTGTGTGGTTTTTTTTTTACAAGTTACAGTGTATTTCTGCCACCCTCCCACATGACAACGAACTAAAGCTGCTACAACTATGACGCATTTGACGTAGCAGAAAGATCTTCACACCTGCCCCGTTCCCCCGCTCCACCGCCTCCACCCCACATCGACTGACAGTTCCCACGTGAACACCTAAACAAAAGTGACAGCATAAGCTCATTGTTCTACACTGCAGTGTACATGATATAATAAGTTTATCTACTCGTGTTTATTAATACCTTACCAATCAGTAATGTTCAGCTGATGTCGACTCGGTGCTTGCGCTTCATGCACCTCAAAGTCCTCGTCTGATTCTGGGTCCAACACATGCGGCTGAACGTGCTGTATCGCCATGATGAATAAAGGTTTATTCCTGCCACTATCAGGGTGCATGTCTGTCTCCCCCTCCCTCCCTGAGATGGGCGGAGGAAGGGCGGCTCACTCAGAGCCTACGTCATGTTTGGAGGGCGGGGGGATGAGCAATAGTCGGCCTTTCATAGTTCCTGGTCTGTGATGCCCCCAAGAAATCAGTAAGATTTCATAACTATTGTGTAATGGATTTTCCAAAACCCAAATTGTGTTTGTATATGTGCAGAAGATTCAATGTGAAAAGAGTTATTTTCCATGAGATGGGCACTTTAATGTCCATGATGCGGTCTGTTGTCTTTTATACAGAGCATACATGTAAAAAAAAAAACAAAAAAAACAAAAAAACAAAATGTTATGCAGTGTTCTCCTCATTTTAGAGTCAAAAGAGTTTTGTGGCTCCAGCACGTAATTATTTTCTGTGGGAAAAGCTCCAAATGGCTCTTTGAGTTTTTTACGTTGCCCACCCCTGTAAAGCTGCATTGTGTAACTTTTCATATCAGGTGCTTGTTCCTATGCATGTGTCATTGCTCTGTCTGTCTCTGACCTGTATCATGGTCTGGTTTGGTCTCCATGAAGACAGAAAGCTAGAAAACATTCCAGACAAAGCAATAACATCTCCACAAAGAAAATCAATTGACGGCGCCTCCACCAGAAATATTTATGCACCTTTAAAGCTCACACGAGTCAGTTTTGTGTAATGTAAGAGCTTTAATGTCTGCAAAACCACCACTCCCTTCTGCGCTCCTTTTCTCTCGGCGGTACAAAGCTTTAAATAAACAAATTAATTCAGTATTTTTCATGCACCATTCTGTCTCCCTCTGTTGGCACTGACCTTGATAATAGTTTTCGCTGTAATAGGCTTTTAATTGATTCTGATTTGCTGATTTCTCAAACAAAGGAGACTGGGAGCTACATTCTAACAGTAAAAACAAAACAACAAACCACTTTCATGTGATTTGGGCACAGTTTAATTCAATGTGAGTCACCCTTAATCACTATTTTATGAAGCAATCCAGACACAAAGCGACTGAGGATCTGTGCAATGGTAATGGAATGGAACTGAATTGAATATTAAGGTTGTAATTTTTTCATGATGAGGAATTTCCGGTTGTTGCTTTAATGTTTGTGTGTCAGAAACATTTTGGTGCCTGTCACTATTAAACGTTTATTTTATAATTTTTTTATTTCATTTTATTTTATTTTAGCCGCTGTTTCAAGTGTGATTTGAAAGTGTCCATTGTTGGAGTCTCTCTTCTTGATAATGGGAGACTGTTTCAAAACTTAGTGTCTCTGACTGAGTTTGATAGAAGTACAGATACCTATGGGTCATTCCACGCCATTTCATCAAATTTCCAGAAAATCTCACGCATCATGTTTTTTTAAAAATTTTGAAAAAATTACCAGCTGGTCCCTTACTATCATGTACCAACCCTGTGAAATTTTTGTCATTTTCAATCAATACTTTTTAAGTTACAGTTCATTTAGTGAGGGGAGTATGAGTCAATTTACGGGTTAGGGTTAGGGTTAACCCAAAATGCGCGTCATTTTTTCTCGGCCATTTTCACAGGTCGATATCTCCATAAGTATCACACACAGATGGCTGAAATTTTGTAGGCTTGTAGTCCTCTACTCTGTGTTCAAATAACATCTATCAAAAGTTTGGTATCTCAACTCATTGTCATTTTATATGAACTTAAAAAAGAAAGCCTACTTGTAGGTGTCGGAGACCCTTGAATTTTTTTGAGAATCAAGATATGTACTAGGACTGTTAAAAAAAATCACCAAATGTTGAAAATTTGAAATAGGTTATGTGTGAGGGTCCTTGTTAAAAACAAGAAAACGCAACATGGTCCGATTTTCACATGTAATTTATGGCATGTGGGTAGTGATTAAAAAAATTAATTTGAATATTTTTTTTCCTGAAAGACCAGAAAAATACGGTACCAAACATATGTATTTTATGAAGCTCCTTCAATTTTTAATTGTATCTTGAACATTCACATTTGAGTTTTCAGTCATAGTGCAAGACACAATGACACGAGTATACAGTGATCATGTACTATGTTTTATTCCAGCAACTAAGGTCACTAAACATTTAAAGACTGAATCAAATGGTTTGATAATAATATGCCACGGAAATGAACAAGTTTTTATTTTTTGTTTTTTTTTAAAGTTCATATAAAATGACAATGAATTAATATACCAAACTTTTGATAGATGTTATTTGGACACAGAGTAGAGGACTACAAGCCTACAAAATTTCAGCCCTGTGTATACTTACGGAGATATTGACCTGTGAAAACAGCAGAGAAAAAATGACGCTCATTTTGGCCCGTAAATTGACACATACCCCCCTCACTATATGAGCTGTAACTTAAAAAGTATTGATCGAAAATGACTAAAACTTCACAGGGTTGGTACATGATAGTAAGGGACTATTTGGTTTTGTTTGTTTTGTTTTTTATTTTTGAGATCCATGTGCGTGGGCCATTTGTTGAAATGGCGTGGAATGACCCCTATGTCATTTATTTATTTATTTATTTATTTATTTATTTATTTATTTATTTATTTATTTATTTATTACGCAGTGAATTAACATAATTTTCTGTGATGTCCAGGCACATAAACATTCGCGGTCTATGAGGCACCAGAACAGCAGGGGGCGGTGTGGTTCAGTCTGGGTAAAACAGACCAGAGGTACAGCTAGCCGCATCTGAGAGGTGATATAAGGTGAGGGCTTTAAATCTCTTCTTTTCATCACACATAACGGTCACATACACAGTTTAATTTGTCCGTGTTGTCAAATCAAACAACACCCATTGATTTCTCCACAAATCGTTCACGTTATATCCGAATATTGCGTATTTTAGCGCTTTGTTGACATTAGCTTAGCGTCCTGATCACGTGACTTGTGTAATGTTTACATCTTTGGCTGTAACATGTTCTGTGAGCTTCTGTGCTGCTGGAAACAGTGTAAACAGCTTTTGTGTTATTGTGAAAAAAGGTCAGTGTTTAAAGTTACTATAGGGTGACCAGATTTTCAAAATAAAAAAAACTGGGACATCCCTGGTTTGAGGTGGTTGGTAGTAATAAAATTGTGAAACTAGTGCGAAATTATGGACAATTGTTCTGCACTCAAGACTAATGTGAGTCAGTATACTTACATTTTAGTTGTGTTTTGGTCGTTTTTAAGCAGCTTTTCTTTATTTTACCTAAACAAATGACAATTTATGCCTCTCTTTACTGTTGGCAGGGATAGGATTGGTCAAAAATAGGGACCCCTGCTACATTTTTTGTATAAAACTGGGACAAATTAATACTTTTGGATAAATCTGCTGGGACAGGGGACACAGGGCTCAACACTGGGACTCTCCCGGGTAAATACGGACTAAACTTTAGTTCAGTAGAGACCAACGGCAATTCCAGGACTGAAATTATCCTTATGATTCTAGTGAAGGTGTATGGAGTTTAAAAACACTGATTACTGTCTACTTTCTGTGTGGTAACAAAACTTTTACTCATACTTTGCAGCTGATGGTATAAATGTGTAATTTAAAGGTCCTATATTACGTAAAATGGTCTCTTGTGAAGCAGTAGTTTTCAAGCTACCTTTTACCTTTACTAGGGTGACCAGATTTTTAAAACCAAAAAAATGGGACACCCCGGTTTGAGGTGGCTGGTAATTTTGAGGAAAATAACCCATTTCCTCATGTGTTCATTAGTTTCTGCTTAGACAAAAAAATTACACTTGAAACAGAAATAAAGTCCAGATAATTTACTTATTCCAATATTAGAAAAGTCATACTTGTACAAGGAGTCTGTGCTGACATTCCCATGCAGAGACTGAATATTTATGCCTATACAATGATTTTTATACGCAAACTATAGTGGGAGGCGACCATGGTTTAGACTTAGTGCCTCTTCGTTGGTGCACAGGCCAGCCAGGCCTCTTGGCACGTTGCACAATCTTATCCAATTGTGACACGGATCCCCCGGATTCATCTCACTTCCCTTACGGGAGCATCTTGCTGGTCTGATCAGGGTGATGAGTCCTGAGTCAGCATAACCCTATCAATAAGTCCTTGCCCTATTTAGTTAATTGATTAGACATATAGATAGAAATAGGTTCAGTTCATGTACAAGATATTCTATCTCTGCATCCCTCATCTGTAATCTAGTCCCTGTTTTCTGGGTCATTGTATAGTGATTATGTTAATACAATCATAAAATATAGCAGTACATCAATAACTTTATAGCAGCACATCAGTTAGATCATAGCAGTAGTTAAATACCTAAACCTAGGTATTTATCCTAACAGTAATAATAAAATTTTGAAACAAGCATGTTATAAAAAAAAAATTGTTGCACTCGGCCCATTCACTATGAACATGAGTCACTATAGTCACATTTTATTGGTGTTTTGGTAATTTTTAAGCAGCTTTTACCTAAACAAATTACAGTTTATGCCTCTCTTTACTGTTGGCAGGGATCAAAATGGTCAAAAATCCAATCCAGTGCAACTTTATTTGTATATTGTAACACATTTTACCAGCACAAGATCTCCAAAGTGCGGCAAAGAGTAGGCACAATATAAATTAACACATTAAATACAGTAAAGCATAAAATAAGTAAATAAGCAAGTCAATAAAAAACATAAAAAATACAAAAAGCAGAAAATAGGAATAGAAAAATAGCAAATAAAATCAATAAAAGGTAGTCAAAGGATCATACAATTTTCATGACTTGTTAAAAGCCAGTGAGTAAAAGTGCGTGTTTTTAAACAAGATTTAAAATAATCGACTGAAGGGGCTGTCTTAATGAAAATGGGGATACCTGGAACATTTCTTGTATAAAACTAGTACAAATCACTGGTTTTGGATAAATCTGCTGGGTCAGGGGACACAGGGCTCAAAACTGGACACTGTCCCGGGTAAATAGAGACGTCTGGTCACACAAAGCTACTGCTACATTTTACCGTATAATATCTATAATACTCATAATAATAAGTTATCCACAGAGTTTGCTCACTAAATCAAATCTTCTCCGCAATATACCACTTTGTTTACTTTTCATAACACAGCTCTCACTACATATTTATTTTATTTTTTTAAGCAGCAGTGTTTTCTAGAAAATCACATTCACATCACAGATAAGCCTGTTTCTGTCAATCATTATATCATCTTTGCACTATTTCCAACCTATTACAACCTCTTTTATATAACTGTGATAGACTGTATTTATATTAAGATATTTGTGTTTTACATGTGTGAACTACTGTGTCCAAGTCATTTCCCTTGTGGATCAATAAAGTCTGTCTAAGTCTATTCTACAGTTTCAATAGTTGTTTACTTTCAGGTTAAATTCCTCATGGACTTCTCAAATGTATTTTTTATGGATACCAGTGAGTGGCCAGTGACCTTTGCTCTGTTCCTTCTTTTTCTCAGTCTTCTCTATTGGTATGTAAAAAAAAATAAAATAAAATAAATAAATAAATACAAGATAATCTCTGCATGTCCTCTGGTAACTGTGAGTTTTGTAGGTATTCTGTTTACCCGTTTTCTGTGCTGTCAGAATGTGGCATCAAACATCCCAAACCTTTGCCATTTTTGGGGAACATTTTTCTATTTCGTGAGGTAAGTCTGTTTTAGATAAATGAGGTTTATTCTTGGTTTATAATGCTGTTAGATTATCAGTGCTCATCAGGGAAATATTTTAAAAAACATATTGAAAGTCAAGTTAAAGGTCCTGTATTACCTTTTGTTTGTTTATATGGAGTTGTCATTGCTCTGCCTGGAAGGTTCCACAGTATGTCTTTAAACAGGTCTACCTTACATTTATTCAATTACATGTGATTTTATTGCTCAAAAATATGAAAAATGTATTTCCTTCAGAATAAATTAAGTATTATCTATCCTGTAAATTGGTCTCCATGAAGATAGAAAGGTTTAATGCCATACTGTGAAACATTACAGACAAAGCAATAACATCTCCATGGAGGAAATTCTTTGACGGACCTTTCACCAGAAAAGTTACACAGTGCACCTTTAAGCCATGTTGCCTCATCAAAAACATACCACTCAATCATGTGTGAATGAAACAAAACAAAACTCCAGGTCTGTTTCTGATGAGGAAACATTATAGCATAAATACTAAAATAGTGTAATGTGGGCTCTTTAAATATTACACTTATAATTAATTTAAATAATGTATATTTCTGCAGGGTTTCTTTAATTCTTTGACGGATCTCATAACAACACATGGACGAGTTTGTGGGTAAGTATAACTATATAAACATTTGTGATATACATATATCACGCTGGGGGTGTTGTACATGTGTCTCTAATGGCAGAATGTTAAGCAGTTACAATGATGATACAAATCAGCTCACCTGTTTTAGTTCCAACCAAGTCGGCTCTTAGTGGTCAGATTGTGTTAAAATAAAGATCAGATTGTCTAATGAGTAATTTGAGTTTAGTTAGTGTAAGAGAATTTAAGTAATTTATCTATCACGTACATCTCAGTTTATCATTGACATACAAAAGCTGTATTTACACCAAGATCTTCCCTTGGCACACCATTGGCATACCACTATCTAAATTGTGGCATATTACTGCCTAACAGGTGTCTACTGGTCTTCATAGTCTCACCACTTGATTTATAAACCTCCTCCTCTGGAAGCATAGTAAATGGGCTTGAACACTCAAAGATCACACTGTGTTCTCTTTTGAAATCACACTATGTTGACTTTTCAAGGTCTCCCAGACTCGTTTTATTGATGGTAAATAAAGTTCTCTTGCGTAAGACATCCAGTTGGTCTCTAGTCTTTTACATCCTCCCTTTCTGGGACAAGCTGAAAACTTTGACAACAGTTAGCCTCACACCCCCAGGGATTGTTGACATCAGCCACAAAGTATCAATACTAACTGTAATAAATCTGTGTATTTTCAGGTATTACCTGGGACGCAGACCGGTGGTGGTGATCGCTGACCCTGATATGCTTAAAGAGGTGTTGGTCCGAGACTTCGGCAACTTCCCCAACAGAAATGTAAGAGGTTTAAAGGTTCAATAATACACAGAACTGACTCTTGTGAGTTTTAAGTCACGTTAGAATGCTGTTGCCTCTTCAAAAACATACCTGGAGTTCTGTTTTTTTCATTCACATGTTTGAGTAACTCTTATTGTAAGCCTGTTTACATCTTCAAATCCTCTGTTCATTTTATTGCAATTTCATGAACAAATTCTATCGTCACAAATAGCTCGACAAAAACTGTGCTTCCTTTGCAGACTTTTCGATTCGCCACCAAGCCCATGAGTGACTGTCTGCTGTTGTTAAAGAACGAAGAGTGGAAAAGAGTCCGGAGCATCCTTACACCTTCTTTTAGTACGGCTAAAATGAAAGAGGTACTGTGCTGCTGAAAATTATACTAGACATAACAAGACTTGTCATGATAACAGATATTGAAGTTCAGTATACATGGACTTTATTTAAAAAGGAACTGTTTCCAGTTGTTTGAGCACTGTGGGTGACATCACACTCCTTTAGCCTACTTCTTTCTACAGTCTGTGGTGGTTTATTGCTACAGAGAAATCCTGTGATACACGATAATATTGAAACTACTTTATGCCACAGACAGAATAACAAGGCAGGATTACCCCAGTGAACCGTTTTTAAATAGACAGTGTCATTCAAAAGGCCTGAGCTGCAACAGATGAAGAGGAGAAAGAACCAATAATAAGCCGTAGAAGTTAGTGAGTCAACCCTCTACAGCACAAATCTTATTATATTACAACAAAAATACCCCAAATCTTCATAGGTTTACAAAGATAATGTACACATTGTTCTAGTTATCATTTACTGAACGATAAGTTGATGTAGTAGTTATCGTGACAGGCCTAGATACAGCTCTGGATGGGACTGACTGGCTGTTTGTTTCAGATGGTTCCACTCATCAACACAGCGACTAATGCTCTGATGGACAATCTGAATGTGTATGCAGAGTCAAATGAGGCCTTTGACATCCACAAGTAAGGCGATTTATACATATATACACTGCCGGTGTGGTATAGGATTTTGACCCCGGGGTCAGAATCCTATTATGGTATGTTGACCCCCCCCATGAAAATCTATATTTTATAAATGAAGAACTTGAATTCTACAGAAAAAAACTTTGAATATTAATACTATATCTGCAAATTAAAACAAATTAAAGTGTTTTTTGAAGAACTCAGATGCATTTTTTATGTCAATTATAACTTTTGAATGTTAAAAATTACTTAGTTGTTTAAACACATATTTTACTGAAAACGAGATAAGTAGTTATTAATTAATCAGTTAATCAAAGTGATGTATAATGATTTGGAGTCTTGTTAAAATAGACAGGGGTAATCAATTGAGTAGTTAAATACATGATAGGAGAAGAATTTTGAAATGGTTTCCGTAATCAATAACTTCACTTAAAATTACATATGGATTATCTGAACATAGCAAACTGTTATGTCCCCTATGTCCAACAAGGGACACAACGTGTATAAAACAATCCTTGAGGCAAAGTCGGTTTGGCAAACCTTTTATTTTTCGGCCAAACATTCACCAAAGTGCACAAAGAACAAACAAAAGGTTGGTGGGAGGAGGCGTGTGCCAGTTGTGCCAACTAAACCAACAAAACGGTATAACAAAACAGGCCCTAACTGAAAACTAGGCTACAAAAAGGAAAGAAATCAAAAAGCCTAGCCTACCTGATCTAAAAAAGAGAATTTGGAAAACTCACAACAACAAGGGTGGCAACAACTGATAACTAATGTGTCTAACAACAAAAATCTACGTGATGTGAAATGTACAGGGATCCCCAAACTTACCCAACCAATCCTCCCAACCAAACAAACCTTGGCTAGCAGCCTTACACACACACACAGAGAGAGAGAGAGAGACAGAGAGAGAGAGAGAGACAGACAATCAGCTCCAGTTCAGGTCCCACCCACAGCACCTGAACACACAGGGCAGAGGAGAGAGCAGTACACAAACTAAACAAATAACACAAACTAAAAACCATAACAATGTAAAATACAATACAATTTTAACAGTACGTTACATTTACACAAAATACCAAAAGTCATTATCCATCAAAACATTCCTTAAAATACCTTAAAAGAAAATGAATATGTAGCAATATATAATACAAGTAAATGACATAAGAAATAATGATCAGATAAGTAACTACTAAAGAAAAAAGTAAGGGGAGTCAAAATACTATAGGGGGGGTCATTTTATGATAGCGGTATGTTGACCCTGGGGTCAGTATACTATGGGGGTCACAATACTATCTCACACTGGTTAAAAGTTTGGACACACCCTCTAATTCAATGTTTAATTTTGTTTTCTTTGTGTTTACCACTTTCTTCGTGTTATACACATACAGAAGACATCAAATACAAGAACAAGATATATGGAATTATGTAGCAAAGAAAAGAGTGAAATAACTTCTATATATTTTTAATTCAAATGCTCACAGTGTCCACCCTTTGCTTTGTTGACAGTGCTGCAAACCCTTGGCCTTTTCTCATTGACCTTCTTGATGAAGTCTCCTGAAATGGTTTTTATTTCACAGCTGTGTCATGTCAGGGTTAAGGAATGCCAAAAGTGGTCAAAGAGTGGCTATTTTTAAAAAGTCTAAAATCCAAAATGACAGTTTGGAGTTATTTTGAGCGTATTTTCTGTTTGCTTCTATCTATACATGTTCATTCATAGTTTTGATGCCTTCAGTGAGAATCTACAGTGTAAAGACCGAATTAAGGTTCTGCGTCGACTCAAAGCACACTGCCACCGTTGCCTTGTCGCCGTCATTTTGGATTTAGGGATCTGTGTCGAGGTCTGTGTGCCGAGAAGTAATTCACCGTCACAACGCTAGGAGGCTAGGATTGCGTTCATGTTTACAAAATGAAGTGGGAAAGCGGAGTACCGGAAATGTATATAGTAGAGTAGATGTAGAGAGGAACAGCCACAGTCCTTATTGTCTGAGTTTCTTCCCCTGCTGTCTGCATTGTTTCGACGTGTAGTTAGAAAATTTCGGAGGTGCACATCTCTGTAGAATGCAGAATCTCTGTGTCTTGATGCGGATGATTTGATGCATGACCATAAATTGAGCTTAAATAGTCATGAAAATAAAGAAGAACCAGAAATGAGTGTCCAAACTTTTGACTGGCAGTTTACATGTTCCTTTTATTCTCACTCATGTATTTTTAAAGATGCACTATGTAGCTTTTTGGTTGGAGCACCATCTTGCTCTGCTTCGAATGTTTCACATTAAGTAGCTCTGCCTTACATTTATTCTATTACAGTTGGTTTTATTGCTCAAAAATACCTAGAAAAACAGGCATTGGACTGTGAGTGGGGTTGCCTATCCATAGGTCTGCTCTGGTTTGGTCTCCATGATGATGTTTAATTCCATACTGTGAAACATTCCAGACAAATCAATAACATCATAGAGAAAAGCAGGTGGCAGACCCTCCACTTACACAATTCACCTTTAACTTGTGTTGTTTCTCCAGATGCTTCGGCTGCTTCACCATGGATGTCATTGCCAGTGTGGCGTTTGGCACTCAGGTGGACTCCCAGAACACCCCTGATGACCCTTTTGTGCGACATGCTCAACTGTTTTTCTCCTTCTCTTTCTTCAGACCAATCATGTTTTTTTTGAGTGAGTATTTCTACAATTGTATAATTATTTTTATGTAACGCTTTTGCTTAAACATCTATATCTCATGTGTTGTCCAGTTGCCTTTCCTTTTATATTGAGGCCTTTCGCAAGCATCATTCCAAACAAAAGACGGGACCAGATGAACCATTTCTTCATCAACACTATTCGAAAGATCATTATACAGAGAGAGGAGCAGCCCCCAGAGCAGGTACGTGTCAGTCCAAACTCCATGTTCCCATTTGTAATGGACCGCATGTGTAAATAAGCATCAACACTCTTACCAACTGAGATAATATTTATTAAAGGTGCTTTTTGGTTGGGGGTCCATCGCCTGCTTGTTTCTATGGATATGTCATTGCTCTGAATATTATTTTATTTGTCTCTTTACAAACAAATAAAATAAAAAAAATCATTTTTATTTTCTCCTTTATAAATTAGAGACGCAGAGATTTCCTTCAGCTGATGTTGGATGCGCGCAGCAGGGGGGATGAGAGTGTGTCTTTGGAGCACTTTGACACTGGAGTCCATAGTGATGATCCTCAAACCTCAGCTTCGTTAAATAAAGACAGTAACAGGTAAGGATGTAACGATGAAAGCAAATCTCACTGTACGATATTTATTGCTGTATTTTAGAGATGCTAAAAGAATTGAAGAAATACTACTTTCTCCTTTTAAAAAGTCTTGACAAGATTTTGATGCCCTAATGAGGTTAATTTGATCTTTCGTATAATTTATATTAGGTTCTTTTTTCAGACCAAGGGTTTGTTTTCATACCTGACAGTTTCAACTGCTCACTCGCGGTTTTCCTCAGAGTGGTCACGTGATTTATACAGCTGGTACAGGTTTTGGTGCTGTCTTTCTACTGGTGGAGGCAGAATGAACCGGGATGACGGGGCTTTTTTACGCTCACACACCTGGGATACTGTCCTGAGGAAGTGGGACTGCAGATGGAGCTGTCGTCCTGCCTCCACCGGTAGAAAGAAGAGCACCAAAGCCTGTATCATTCAGCTGACTGGACACATCAACATTACGTGATCACTCAGAGGAAGACCCTAGCAGTCTTTCTGAGGAGTTGAAACTGTCAGGTATGAAAGCAAAGTCTTGGTCTGAAAAAAGAAACTAATAACAAGCTTTTGATGCTATATTACGATCATACGATCATATCAGAAAAGTTCACTTCATATCATCTGCATTGAAAAGGAAAAAAAGTTCATGGTCTTTACTTTGTGACATCCCTTGATATTATTGTGGGACTTTTGCGTATATTTCTGTACGACTTGTACAACATTTCTGTTATTGTCACATCCGTAGCAACAGGAGCCTGTCACCGCAGGAACAGTTACAGAGGCGATCACAGAGAAAGACCATGTCAGAGGATGAGGTCATAGGTCAGGCTTTTGTCTTCCTTTTGGCCGGATATGAAACTAGCAGCAACACACTGGCCTTCACCTGTTACCTGCTGGCTCTGCACCCCGAGTGTCAACACAAGCTCCAAGAGGAGATAGACCACTTCTACACTCGACATGTGAGTCCAAACATTTATAGACGTACGTATAGACATCAAGTTTAAACGGTCCATATTATGCTGTTTTCTGATCTGTGTTGTATTGTTTCCTCATCATAAACAGACCTGGAGTTGTGTTTTGTTTCATTCACACATTTAACACACAAAATGTGCATATTTAGTTCAGTTGTCAAACAGAAAACACTTGTTCCACCTTGAGGTGTCATGAAGTAATACAGGATGTGTTTTAATTCATTAATTGAATTAATTAATCATTGCATTTATATAGCGCCTTTCAAGACACCCACAGCACTTCATCATTATTCATTCACTCCACAGCTGCCCTGGGGCAGACTGACGGAAGCGAGGCTGCCAGTCTGCACCATCAGCCCCTCCAACCACCACCAACACTCACCCACACTCCACTTTCCTACTAGGCAATGTGGATGAAGTGTCACAATAACAGTTTTTGCTACTGGATTTACCAGTGGTCTCCCATCCAAGTACTGACCAGGCCTGGTCATGTTTAGCTTCTAAGATCTGATGAGGTCAGACTTTGACAAGTTGGTATGGCCACCTTTAAACTCCATACACCTTCACTAGAATCATTTGGATAATTTAAGCCCTGGAATTGACAATATTTACTAAACTAAAGGTAAAAGGAGCTGTGAACTTGGAAAAACTACCACTACATGACATCACAAAGTGGAACAGAGCATGTTGAACTTTGGAGATGTAAACAGACGAATAAGAAATTGTTACTCAAACATGTGTCAAAGAAACAAAACACAACTCCAGGTCTGTTTTTGATGAGGTAACAACATTATAACGTTGCTTAAAACTCATAAGAGTCATCTTAAATCATTTTTACAGGAGTCTCCAGATTACACAAATGTTCAAGAGCTGAAATATTTAGACATGGTTATAAGTGAAGCTCTGCGCATGTACCCACCTGGATTCAGGTAAACAGCCAACATATATATACAAGTTATAATAGTTTCTCTGTACGACCTCTTGTTGAGATATGTTTGTATTACTATAGTTCTATATTTTATTTTTATTTCCACATATACATTTATATTGTTATGCCTTATTTGACACCTGTCTCTTGCTGCTGTTTGTTTGCTACTTACTTTGAATTTGTTATTATCATTTATATATTTATAATATTTATATACATTTATATATTTGTATTCTTTATTACTCTGTGAGCCAAGTAACTTCCCTTGTGGATCAATAAAGTTAGTCTAAGTTTTGAGCAGGTCCATCGACAGAAATTTGGGGGCCCAGGGCAAGAAGCCGGACATAGGCCCCCCTCCAATATAAATTAATAGGATGAAGGTCCAAGTCTGGGCCTCAAAGACCTTGGGGCCCAGGACAACAGATCCCTTTTCCCCCCGACTACTCCCCTCATCTTAAGTCTAAATAGATGATTTCATCGAAGGTTTGCTCGAGATATTGAACGTGACTCAGTGGTGAATGGCCAGCGACTGCCGAAAGGAGCCTGGTTAGAAATTCCAGCAGGTTTTCTCCACCACGATCCAGAGCACTGGCCCGAACCGGAGAAGTTCATCCCAGAGAGGTGAGATACAGATCTTAAATACACTTGAGAAGAAGAGATATAAATTTTACTACATCCTTTTGTGTGTGTTTTGTGCATAGACTGTGTATATAAATGGACATAACTAACCCAGTAGCCGTATTTCAAATAGGAAGTGGGCATGGGCACGCTTCTGGCTCCATCGACTCCAGCTTCAATTCACTTTGTGTTGAAAAACTGTCACCCCTCTCTCTGTAACTGCAGCTTTCAGGCTCCTTCATTTTGGTCTTAAATGTTCAAATTAATCCGCTCAACAAGATCCTGGTGTTTTTTTATTTTGCTATTTTGTCTGTAAATAAATTCATATTTCTAATATGGAACTCTGCTCCAAATTTGCCCCATACTGCTAGACTCGTGAGCTTCATTTTACTGGAGCCAAGGGCTATGGGTGACGTGACACTCACTCAGGTTTTAGTCCACTTCTTTATACATCTCTGTTTTTTTGTGAATTAAATGCTTGTTTGTTTTCCAGATTCACTCCAGAGGCAAAGGCCGCTCGTCATCCTTTTGTGTACCTCCCCTTTGGTGCGGGTCCTCGTAACTGTGTGGGCATGAGGCTGGCACAGCTGGAGATGAAAATAGCTTTAGTAAATCTGTTTCACAGGTTCACCATTGTGACCTGTGATGAAACAAAGGTGAGAAAAATTCTACTCATAATTTAACATTCAATCCTATATATAATATATGTCCTACTGTCTCTGTGCAGGTTCCACTTGAGCTGAAGTCTTCGAGCACTCTGGGCCCCAAAAATGGCATCTATGTGAAAATAATAAAAAGGGAGATGGGTGAGGAGACTGAACAAATCAGCACATGATGCAAAGGAATCACCGGATAAAGGATATTTTTCTTAATCTTCATCTCGGTCATCTGTATATTTTATATTTGCACAAAAAATGCTTTTATACTCTGTCACATGTGAAGACAGGCACTGTATTGTGACATACTTTTACATTCTTCAGATCATGCTGCTAAAGTCCAACTACTTTACACAAGAAGTAGTTTTTTTATTGGATATGAGATAACACTTGTAACTGAAGCTCTGAAGTTAACGTTTTGTGGTGAGGAAGTGTATATAAAAAACAAAAAATAAAGTGATTAAAACATCTATTGTGTGTTTGAACGAGAATTTGCATTTCTTGTCTTTTAAAACAGGATAATTTGTTACCAAAAGAACATTTTTAGTGAATAAATAAATACTACAGTCGGGCACTTGTCAAGGATGTCAGGCCTATAAACCAGACATGTCAAACTCAGGCCCGGGAGCAAAATTTGACCTGCGATATAATTATATTTGGCCCGCGAGATCATACCAAATATGGACTAAAGCTGGCCCGCCGACATTATTTAAAATTGTGTTATTATTTTATATTCTGCTTGTTATGGATTCAGTGTTTAAGCAAAACTATTATTAAACATTTTTTTTATAAGAAAAGGTTTAACATTACATATCTCGAAAAAAGAGAAAACATGCAGATGCTGTTGAAATTTTTCAATAAATAGTCCCAGTCCCGGTTTTTAATTTTGGCCTCTGTGAATTTGAGTTTGACACCCCTGTTGTAAACCATTATGATAAGCATGATTAAAGTGTTTCCCCTTTAATTAAAAATTTAAAAAAAGTTAAAAATAACCCAGATTAATTAGTCACAGTAATCTCCACCTACATTGAAAACACCATCACTCTTAGCATCATGATCACGTGACTTGTGTAATGTTTACACATGGTGTTTATGTCTTTGTCCTCAGCAGTAACACATTCTATGAGCTTCGGTGCTGCTGGTAAGTGTCTAAACATCATTTGTTTTAAAATCGAAGTGAAAAAAGGTCAGTATTATCAGTAATATCTATAATAATCATTATCAGAAGTTATCAACAGAGTTTGCTCATTAAATCAAATCTTCTCTGCAATATTCCATTTTATTTATTTTACATAGATCAGCTCTCATGGAATATTTATTTTATTGTTTAACCTGTAGTGTTTAATAAAAAAAAAAAAGAAATGAGAAATTATCTGTCTATTCTGCAGTTTCAGTAGTTGTTTAATTACAGGTTAAATTCCTCATGGACTTCTCAAATGCATTTTGTATGGATTCCAGTGAGTGGCCAGTGACTATTGCCCTGTTCCTCCTTTTTCTCAGTCTTCTCTATTGGTACGTAAATAAAACAGTTTCACATTCATCTGTAAATACAAGATAATCTCTGCACGTCCTCTGATAACTGTGAGTTTTGTAGGTATTCTGTTTACCCGTTTTCTGTGCTGTCAGAATGTGGCATCAAACATCCCAAACCTTTGCCCTTTTTGGGGAACATTTTTCTATTTCGTGAGGTAAGTCTGTTTTAGATATTTATTCTTGGTTTATAATGTTGTTAGATTATCAGTGCTCATCAGGGGATGTATATATATATATATATATATATATATATATATATATATATATATATATATATATATATATATATATATATATATCCTATAATTAGGTCTCCATGAAGATAGAAATGTTTAATGCCATACTGTGAAACATTACAGACAAAGCAATAACATCTCCATGGAGGAAATTCTTTAACAGACCTTCCACCAGAAAAGTTGCACAGTGCACCTTTAAGTCATGTCTCATCAAAAACATACCACTCAAATATGTGAGAATGAAACAAAACAAAACTCCAGGTCTGTTTCTGATGAGGAAACATTATAGCATAAATACTAAAATAGTGTAATGTGGGCTCTTTAAATATTACACTTATAATTTAAATAATGTACATTTCTGCAGGGTTTCTTTAATGCTTTGACGGATCTCATAAAAACACATGGACGAGTTTGTGGGTAAGTATAACTATATAAACATTTTGTCTTTTTTTCTTGGTGTTATACATATATCACACTAGGGGTGTTGTACATGTATCTCTATTGGGAGAATGTTAAGAACTTCCCATGGTGACACTATGCAAACACAGAGAAAAAATGTTAAAATGGATTTAAACAACACATTTTTAGGAGTCTGTGATCAATATAAGCATTCATCGTTGTGTAGGGAGATTGTAGGAGTTTAATTTTCGACAAAAAGGTGAGAGTGAGGTGTTATTAATATTATTATTATCATTATTATTATTAGGCCCAAGGCTATTGCTTTCGCAATGATGAGTGCATGGGCGAAGTCAATGACAGCCATATGGTATATTTCGGTTGCCATGGCAATGCAGGATAACGCCCATGTTATCCTAATGACAAAATTTCTAAATTTTCTTATATTTTAAAGTGATAAAACAATGTATTAGTTTCATTGAAGAACATTAAATTTGGCACAGTGGTTCTTCAAGTCACCCTGATCAAAAAAGTCTAGGGGCCCAAAGTCGTATTTTGCACGGTGTTGCCATGGCGATGTCCCAAAATGCCCATGTTTATCTATGTTAGCACATCAGCATCTTCAGTGTGTGCTGACTTTGTGTGTTTAACAAGCACACAGAGTGCAGATGATTACCAATTAAAATTCTATATTAACTGCGTAAATGATTGTTCTGTGACTACTATTGCCCTGATAATAAGTCAGCTTGTAATAAATAAAACTAAATAAAGGCAAAGGCTCTTTTGATTTTAAATTATATTAAGCCACTGAAACATAAATTACTAAATTCCTCTGTATAACAGTCAGAATACCACCATAGAGCTGAACAGAATAGTCTTTTAATCCTCTATTAGCGATTTCCAAAAAAAAAAGTACCTTAACAACAGCGCTAAGGGAAAGTAGCTGGATGGGTCTCCCCGTGCCTGATGAGCTGGGTCCTGTGTCTGGGTTTGTTTCTTCAGCAGTTTTTAAGTGGTCCAAATCCGTTTTGGTCCAACTCGGGTATTAATCCGTGGAAATGGCCTTAGGCGCCAGTGGCACAGTAGTGAGTTGGGGCGGCGTGCGCCACACGTGCACCCATATATCTTATTCTCAGCTGAGCAGATAAACAATAACAAAAAATACAAATACAGGCCACAGTGCCCTTGAGAAATAAAGAAAATATCCATACATTATGTTGCCCATACTACATCGACCCCCCCTCCAGCCGGAGGCTACAGGAGTCAAACCCCATATTGCCCTTTTAGATTAACTACATTTACAGTATCCTGTTTAGCAGGGGAATCTGCCCAACTCACCACATAGCTGAGAGGCCCTAGCTTCCTTTCAATAGTTGCTGGCCCTTCCCATTTAGGTGCTAACTTAGCTGAGAAGCTCTTTGTAGCTTCTGAAAGTGGATGAGTACGAACCCAGACTAAGTCACCTTGGCTGAACTGCACCTTTCTGCGTGCATTTTAGTACCAGCTTGTCGGGCTGCCATTCCACCAGGTCATAGGTTGGCTGCCGGTCAGGATTTGGAGGTTTGTGAATGAGATGCTCCAGTGGACCTTTGAGTTGTCTGCTCAGCACAAGTTCATCTGGAATTTTCCCTCTTTTCTCCTGCTGAGCTCTAGTTATAGCAAACCTGAACTCTGGCAGCCACTGGTCCCATGCAGTGTGATGCTGGCCCACATATGATGCAATCATGGTTTTGATTGTTCGATTGAAGCATTCAGTGAGATTCATTTGTGGGTGTTAACTGGTAGCTTCTGGACCACACCCCATGTTTTGCACAGTTCAGTCAAAAGGGCAGTGGTGAACTGTGGTCGTTGGTCTGAGATAAGATACCTGTTCAGCAGGACAAATCAGCTCACATGTATTCACTTTTAATTCTATAATTCCAACCAAGTCAGCTCTTTCTGGTCAGATTGTGTTAAAATAAAGATCAGATTAAGTCTAATTTGAGCAACAAAGCATTTAACAGAGCAGTGCTTTTAGTTAAAATCACACTTTGTTGTCGTAGTATGTATCAATACTGTATATTTTCAGGTATTACATGGGACGCAGTCCGGTGGTAGTGATCGCTGACCCTGATATGCTTAAAGAGGTGTTGGTCCGAGACTTCAGCAACTTCCCCAACAGAAATGTAAGAGGTTTAAAGGTTTAATAATACACAGAACTGACTCTTGTGAACTTTAAGTCATGTTAGAATGCTGTTACCTCAAAAACAGACCTAGAGTTCTGTTTTGTTTCATTCACAGGTTTCAGAAATCTTTTATTATTCGTCTGTCTACATTTCCAAAGCTCAAAATGCTCTGTTCCACCTTGTGATGTCATGAACTGGTAGTTTTCAAGGTAGCAGCTACATTTTACCTTTTGTTTAGTAGAGATTGGCAATTTCAGGGCTGAGTTTAAAAACACAATGGAGCACTCCCTGTATTAACACATCACAAGGTGGAACAGAGTTTTCAGTTTGAGAGAAGAACTCAGCCTAAATATACAGGGTTTGTGTGTTGAAGAAGCAACATTAAAACATAGATGAGAAAATAGTGTAATACAAGCCCTTTATGTTATGTGATTACATGCAAAAAAATATTACAGTATTTTGTTTTCTGACACTGTTTTTATTTACATTTTATTCCGATTTCATGAACAAATTCCATCATGACATATAGCTTGAAAAAACTGCACTTGCTTTGCAGACTTTTCAAATCGCCATCAAGCCCTCAAGAGAATCTCTGGTGTTGTTAAGGAATGAAGAGTGGAAAAGAGTCCGGAGCATCCTTACACCTTCTTTTAGTGCTGCTAAAATGAAAGAGGTACTGTGCTGCCGAAAATGACACTAGACAAAGCTAGACCTGTCACGATAACAGATTTTGAAGCTCAAATTACATAGACTGTATATATACATGGACATAACCTGCTAACCGCCACATTCCAAGTAGGAAGTGAGCATTGGGACACTTCCAGATCAGGCAGGTCCACCTCTGCCCAACCAAAAATGTTCCAGATTCTCTGCCCCTCCACTGGGTAGAGACACCATTCTCCTGAAGGCAGTTGCCTTTGGGAAAGAGAATCCGCCACTTGATTGTTGTTTCCTGGTAAATACGTTGCTCGCAGTGTGGACAGATGAAGAGCAGCCCATGTTAACAGGACTTTGGACACCGTGAGAAGTCGCTGACCTGAGGCACCCCTGATAGTTGATGTTATAGAGATGGTCGGAAGTGTTGTCTGACTGATGTTCAAACATGGCCTTCACTGAAAGAGCCAAAAAACCAAACAAAAA